CTATTCCTGCTGCCCATGTTAGTATAGTGGTGGCCCACACAGCACCTAGGACATTTGCATGAAAGCACAGAAGTTATAGATAAGTGCTTGAAGTAGATGTTAAAGAGCAAAACCTCTGCAGTGCTTAGAAGAAGTTAGACTATTTCATGCTACGTAAGGAGCTTCCAGTGAAGAAGTTCTGCCTGCGAGAGGTGGCGTGAAGACTCTGGCGAAGATTCTGCAGCAGTTGATCAACCACTCCTCTGCTAAGGAAAAAAAAAATCCATGCTTCTTAAAACCTTCCTGCAACCTGGAAATGGTATCCACCTGAATGCATCCAGGCTGTTGTTTTTCTACAGTCTATTTGATGTGGGATTTCAGGCTGGTGGGCAGTTTCATGTCTCAGGCTAAGGCATGGCAGCAGGAGGATGGGGCGGGGGGAAAACTTGTGCTGCTATATGCTGGGTCATTACCCTCTGGATAGAAGTTAGGGCTGTCACTTCTTGCCTGAACACGATGACAGGTAATACTGTGAAAAAGAGCTGCCTAATGGTGGATTTCTGAGGAGTACTAAAGTGACTCCAACCCTTGGCCTGGCTGGCAGCTATCCAAACTGTTCAGGGTAGTAGAGAATTTGAAAAGCTCTTGACTGGATGATCTTATGGACGTGTGGCCTGATGTGACCAGGGACTGCAGTCGGTGCTGCTTGATTTAGAACCAATCCTTCTTGCAGCTAATTTTGCAGTACTTGCTGAATCATTGGAAGGAACCCTCCCCCACTCTTACTCCCTCCCCTCCTTTTTTTAACTTCCCTGACCAGTTTCCCATGTTTCATATTTTTTAAAAAAAATCTTGGTTCTTTCTGCACTGTTTGCAGGAGAACGGAGCCAGCACGATCCTACGCGACATTGCCAGAGCCAGGGAGAATATCCAGAAATCGCTGGCCGGAGTGAGTACCCAAGCTCTCTCACCAGCTGGCTACCCGCAACCATTTTTAGCTGTGGTGCATCTCACAGAATCCCGCTGTGACCACTTCATAGATTGTGTGGCTTCTTATTTTTAAGTTAGAGGAGAAAACTAAGGTGTGCAGCGCTGTGTACCACCAGCAATAGCTCCAGCCAGTCAAGAGAACCGTTACTACTAGAGTGCATGCTGCTTGCTAGCCTGCAGTGCTTTTAAAAACTAACTGGATTTGGGTTAAAATTCTTCAACTCTGCATTTCTTTCCTTTTTCTCCTGGTGGAATGTTCCCACAAGTCTTATCTAACAAGTTATGAGTCACTATTGAAGTAACCTTGCTGAGTAGCAAAACACTGAGCTGCCAGCAGGAGTATGTATGTCTCCTTGGGGTACACTGAGCTGCCACCTTCTCTTTCCTGTTTTGCTTTCAGTTAGGGTATGTGCAAAAAAATGGTATCTTCCATCTGCTGCATCTAGGGAATTCAGCTTGGCTACTAGCTCTAAGTCTGGACCATCCTGTAGAAGTTCAGTAACATCTTTTTTGGAGGTGTTTTTGTGCTGATCTGTACAGACAGCACTGTTAAATCTCTTAATTTTTCAAGAGGAAGCTGAGATCTTAAACTAATAACTGGGCTGGTTTCACAGGTGAAGAAAATTCACATAATACAGACCATGTGTCTTGATTTCTTACCTCTGCAGTGGGACTACTACATACCTGCACGTATCTTCCATCTCAGGTTATCCATCCTTTACCTATATTGATTTGGCCTCATAACTCCCTCTTGAGATACTTGATGCCCTCAGCTTCTATTTAGATCAGTACAATAACAGGGATTCGAGCCTTTCTCAAGGGGACTATTTCATATTCCTCCTTAACTCAAGCAGAAAGGAGCCATATGTTTGGGGTGAATGCAAAGGAGTTAGGGTAATTGCTTTCCCCATGGTGGTCTCACTGTGCCTGTTGAACTTGATGCTACGAAAGCAACTTCTGCAGCTGCTCATGTGAGTGATCCAAGACACTCAGTACTGCACTGGAAACTTGGAAGTGGATGCAGGAAGAGCAGGGCAAATTTCATGAAAGGATTAAATTTGCTTTGGTTAGATTCTGTGACCTTGAATACAGCATGGGAATCAAGGGAAAGTTGGGACATCTTAGTAATATTAAAAACGATAAACATCTTTAGGAGGAAAACACTTGGAAGTTTTCTAATGCTAGTTTCTTACTTCAGCATCAGTATTTCAGCCAACAGCTTAGGCAAGATTTTCCTGAACTGGCTCATTTACGTTCAGATCTGAAATAACATGTTTAGGCTTTCAGTAGAGGATATTTGCCCCTGTTGAAGATTCTTTGTTTGGACTAAGTCGAATATGGAGGGAAATTAGCCCCCACCCCAAACAGGGTTGAAGAACTCTTGGCAGAGATAGTGTTAAATGCTTTTGGAATGACCTCTTCAAGCTGCGCAAGGTTGCTGCTTCCTCCAAGACCTGCCTCCTCCAGGAGCAGAGGCTGGATGTGGTGAGTAGGGACAGAAAACCTAAATACAAATCACTTGGCAGTGCTACTGGTCTGCCCTGAAGGCATATTCTCATCTTGCAGAATAGTCTGTGGTTTGTTAAAGATGAGGAGTTTCTTGCCCTGGCCTGTGACTCCTGTTAAATTGCTTCTTTGTGTGAGAAGCCTCTAAGTGGAATCGTCCAGGTCCTGTAATGGGGAAGACTGGGGGAACTGGCAAAGCACCAGATCAAAGCCAGAACAGAAATTTGAGAATGAAGTCCTTTGCACCCCTCTGCCACTTGTTGGGTTTAGTGCTGAATATAAAAAAATCGATCTCCTGGGATTTTTTTGTTCCTGTGAAGAAAACTTGGTGGGCTTGAGGATTTAAGGTCAGGAGTGAGCCATAGGGTCTTAAAACTAGAATCTGGGGTGTTGGAAAAAATGGACTGAGACTTTCCAGTGAAGGCTTGAAGGAAAAGCTTTGTGTTACTGCACGACTGTATTAGGGAAAGCATTGTGCACTGTAATCTGCATTCCTGTCAGGGGCACGCCGTGGTAATTTAACGTATAGCTGCTGTTCTGCTCTCAAAGTATGCAGTTGCTTGGCTAAGCAGAGCACATGGCAGCAGTTACTACTTCCTTACTGTTTTGTAATCCCGTTTTACTGATCGTGCCTTACTGGCTTATACAGTACCCCAGAGAGCTCACCTTTTCAGTTTTTCCACATCTCTGCCCTGGAACCTGAAGTGGTAAACCACAGTCAGATCTCCTTTGTTAGTGTGTGGGTTAGAGTGAGCTGTTGAGAAACAAGTCTGAAACATCAGCTTTTGTAGCTTGCAGTTCTGAAGGATCATTGATCTTGGACAGCTGTGGCATAAAGCAGGCTTGACTTTAGAACATGCTTAAACTTTGGTTTTTTGTTTCAGAAAGCCAAATTTATACTGTTTTTATAGTCAGGATTTAGTCTTCCACCTGAACATGTGGAGTTATTTTCAGGAGTCTGAATATGTAGCAAGTGAAGAGTTGGCTCTTTTAAGATGGGAAGATGGAAGATTAGTGCCTGCCTTTTGCTGTGAAATTCAGCCAAGGCTGGTTTCAGAGCTGCTTCAGCTGGATAGTGTTGTTCTGAAATACATGAATGAGTGTTAGAAGGGTTGAGGCAGTGGTTGGTACTTTCTGAAGGAGGGTACAAAGCTCTGATGCTGGAAACATTTGTTTGCACATACCTTTCATCCTGCTTTGCATGGTCATCTCTGCTTTAAACAGTCTCTCCAGTTGACATCTGCTTGATCACTAATGCTTTCCTAGATAAAAAAGTTTTTAACGTGTGCAGTACTGCAGCTGGTGGCATTGAGACCACAGGTGGTGAGAAATCTTACAGGTGGGGACCTGAGGTGTGGAAAGGATGGACTTGCCTGAGATCATAAGCAAGTCCAACAGAGTGAGTGACTGAACTCTCACTTCCTAAACCCTCCCTGGGGGCTGCAACAAAAGGGATGTCACTGGGGCTGGTGTCGGAGTCTGAAGCTCTGTTATTCCCCTCTCTGTCCAAGCTTCCTCTTACAAAGCCTCTGTATTTGTGCATTTCCTACATGTGGGTTTCAAAAAAGAAGAGCTCCCAGAAAACTTCTAATCTTGCTCAAGTGTTTGGAAGCCACATTTATAAATGCAGGGAACAGAATCACAGAATCATTAAGGTTGGAAAGGACCTTTAAGATCAAGTCCAACTGTCAACCCAACACCACCATGGTCACTATAAACCATGTGCCGAAGGGCGTGTCTACATGTTTTTTTGAACACATCCAGTGATGGTGACTCCACCACCTCCCTGGGCAGCCTGTTCCAGTACTTGACCACTCTCTCAGTAAAGACATTTTTCCTAATATCCAATCTAAACCTCCCCTGCACAACTTGAGGCTGTTTCCTCTCGTTCTGTCGCTGGTTACTTGGGGAAGCGACCAACACCCACCTTGCCACAACCCCCTTTCAGGTAGCTGCAGAGAGCGATAAGGTCTCCCTTCAGCCTCCTCCTCTCCAGACTGAACACCCCCAGTTCCTTCAGCTGCTCCTCATCAGACTTGTGCTCCAGACCCCTCACCAGCTTCATTGCCCTTCTCTGGACATGCTCCAGCACCATAACGTTCTTCTTGGAGTAAGGATCCCAAAATTGGACACAGGATTCAAGGTGCGGCCTCACCAGTGCCGAGTACAGGGGCACAATCACTTCCCTACTCCTGCTGGCCACACTATTCTTGATACAGGCCAGGACGCTGTTGGCCTTCTTGGCCACCTGGGCACACTGCTGGCTCATGTTCAGCTGGCTGTCAACCAGCACCCC